ACACAACGTCAATGAGCTCGTTAGTGTTGTAACGCGGCATCAGCATTTGGCGAGGAATTAAGACTCTATCTTCTGTATTTGGAACTAATGGCTCAGCACCATCACCAATTCGAAGTAGGTATTCGGCAAATTCGCGTAGCTCTGTAGCATCAGCTGTATGAGCAGCTTGCTGAACACGCATATTATTGCGTAAGTGGTGGACTGTAACATGGCGCCAAATCGCAGTAGCTCTGTTCAAGCATTGCTCGACAATTTGCGGGCGCTCAGCATTCGGAATTACAGGAAGGACCTATTCATAACATAAGACAATATTAAACCGTATGCCGATGTGCTCCCATTGTTAACTCTGACCACCCCAAACCTTAGTGCTAAATTAAGGTCATACCTGACGAAAATCACCGCCAAACACAACAACTTTACCGCCAAAAGGGACATCAGCAAGGGCAGGATCCTCAGTGCGCATGGTATCTTGTATGCTCCGGTTCACAGTTTCGATGAGGTCGCGGCTTATCATGGACGCTTCATCCCAAATAATGATACGCGCCATTTTAATTAATCTTGCTGTGTCAGATCGAGGTGTAAAACTGCACATAGACGTTCGATTCACCTCCAATGGAATCTTGAAGGTTGAGTGAGCCGTACGTCCTCCATCCAACAAAAGAGCTGCCGTACCACTTGTGGCCACTGCAAGGGCGATACCATCAGCGCGCCGGACATTTTCAAGTATAGCATTGAAAAGATATGTCTTTCCAGTTCCTCCAGGGCCGTCAACAAAGTGCAGTTTGGGCTCGTTTTGGGGAGCATCGAGAGAGCGAATCACAGCATCAAAAACTGTTTGCTGATCCTCATTGAATTGCAGCTGACGCTGAGGCTGTAAAGCCAGACGTGCTGTCAATCGACGGTGCTCGCGGATGAGCAAAGGCTCTCCAGCACCGACGTCATCATCCTCATCATCAGGCTCTGGAACAACGAATCCATCAAAATCTCGCAGTGATCTCGATAACTGAACCATGACGGATTCGATTTGCAGTAAAGCGCGGTTATATATGGCATCTGTGAATTGCAAACTTTGATCGTTCATGTCCTGACGTGCAGTGTGAAGATAGTCTTCCGCCATACTATCACGATGATCTAACCACAAAGCATAAGGATCTTCAGGATGGCAAAACACCAAAAGGATAGCAAAAAGCCGCCGTAATGCATGTGGTTGCTGGTAAGTGACTGCTTGGTCCATACAATCACTCCATTCTTGCTGGCCGGTTAGAAGACCAAGGCGTCGAGCAGTGGCCTGGAAAGTAGGCAGGATCTCCTGTTCTGGAGTACCTTTGTTGATTGTGCGCATGTCAACAAACGATGTTGCACCAGGGACATGATAAAGTAAAAGTCGAAGATGGTACTTTTCTACTTCGCGAGGAGAGACAGCGTAGATACGACCAATGGTGCCATTGAAACCACGTTCACGAATTTTCCATCGACGTTGAGCAGAAACAAAGACATGTCGTTCTGGAAAATCAGGGTATAAAATCGTGCGGGCATGCTCATACTCTTGGTTGTATTGAAACCATGCTGTAAGCGTGGTTTCGTGTGCCCGTCCAACGACTTCGGCAGGAGTTTCATCGTCTCCGAAATTCACTGTCTGCTCGTTTTCCAAATGAACCGCCAATCGCTGGTGTGCAGGATATTCATGGTGTAAGGAAAACGAAAACAGTCGCCAACATCCTTCCGAAGCAGAAACGTAGCGTGCGTCAAGAAAGGTTCGGATTTCATCGACCGGTTGTTCGTCATTCCCATTTGCATTTGCAGGATCGTTGTTGACTTGTTGTTGTACAACTGCGGCAGATGCACGATCATGACCTTTATAGACATACTTGTAGACGTATTTGATCGAATGAATAGACGTGCAAATTTCCACATTGATATGCGCATCATATTTGGCGCACAGGTAGATGTTGTGAGGGACCACCCAGCGATTGTCGAGTCTGATATTTCCTGGTTTCGTAACATAGTCTCCATTGTTACGTCGGCGGTACACAGGATAGCCATCGTCATTCATTGCCGTGTCCTCGTGAAACTCTTTAGGATATCGCTTTGTACATCTACCGTCTTCCATGCACGGGGATCGAGCATTTAACATGCCACATGGACCGTGCATCATATGCCGCTCAACAGTCGCACGTGCAGTTGGATAGCGCTCAGCATCGGGGAGTTCAGCCGAAACGATATCGTCACAGTGAGCAGTTGTACGTGGCGTGTCTTCGTCCGAAAGGATAAGCAATATGTGCGCATGTGGGAGGCCACGTTTCTGAAACTCGACAGTGTGAACGTGTGCAACGACATCGCCCAAGACCATGTTCTTCGTGAGATCTTCCATCAGCTGCTTCAATTTCAGTCTAAAAACACGTGCAGTGATATCAGGGCGATCAGGGGCACGCTGTCCCGGTAAAAGGGAATCTTGAATTTCTGGCCAGTTCGGATTGCAGGTGAAAGTAACGAAAAGGTCAGGTTTGCCAAAGCGACGCACAATGCTCATGGCATCTTGGTACAGCTGCTGCATATGGCGTGGAGAGCCGATAAATGATGACGGCAAGATAACACGTCTTCCAACGCTGGTCAAGTCATTATCACCCACGTTCATTGCGTCTACAACATTGCGGTAAAGATCGGAGCGCAATCGATCTTGGTTCAGGCGTATGAATCCCAAGCGGTTGGATTCCATTTTCGCATACATATCAACGATGAATTGTTGGAATAACTTTCCGAATCGATGTAAATCGTTGGCATCAGCATCACCATCAGCACCGTCACGAACCATGAGGCGGTATTTGTACCACTCCATTATGGTAATGTCATGATTATTTGAGTTTGCGTTAATCGCCCACCCTTCATCACCTAAAGTAATCTCAATACAACAAAATACTAATAGACAGTGCTAATAATTGCAGGGACGAACCTTGAGGGAAAAGCAAAACATATTGAAGTGCATCATAGAAGCGATGCATTTCGCTAATTCTTTGCAACTCATTGGATCTTGTTCTCAACACAATATCGCGTGGGCCAGCATCCTCGTTATTGTTTTCCACGATAAGGATACCAATTTCATTGGCAGTTGGTGCGTTGTAACGTCGACGGTCTGGAGTATTCTCTGATCTGATGAGCATTCTAACATTGTCAACCCCTTGGTCGCGGGCAATTTCGTTCATATCTCGGAAGGATTCGACAAAAGGATTGATACGATGCATTACGGCCTGTAATTGGCGTAGAGTGGAATCATTAAGGCGTACAGGGGAAACGGCGTGTCGATTGGCAATTTCAGTGGATGGATCGTGCACGTAAATTTGAGCAAAGGCGGGTCTATTATTTTCAGCCGGTAGCAATGAACCTATGCGATGGTAGACACTTCCATGAATTCGGAAATTGTACGCTCCACCACGCGAATTAGCAACAGTTTGATCAACGTTGACACCAAGAGATGTGAAGCTTAGAACACTGTTGTATACTCGGATGTTGGTACGAAAATCCTCAGCAGCAGCATCAGTACCACGTAGCAATTGTGAAATCTCTGGAGGTGTTGGATTGAGGGGTGGGAGCTCAACCGTCCCTTGTTGGCAGCAAAGATTGAAACGTGGCGTGCGGAGAGAGCTATGAGATACACGCTCTTGGATCCAAAGGCGAGCATGGCAGTTACTACATTCAGTATCCATGGAACCGATGAAATGGCGCAGTGGATGGGAGTTTGTGGAAACGCGGGCAATACTATGAAGCTAAATTATAACGGCGTCATCAGTAATCATCAGTGTCATTGTGAAGATCCAAATAGTAACTAACGTTTTCTTGCTCGATCTGGTTTGCAGGATTATTGGGACAGCTTCTGTGCGTGCGTCTCAAATGACCCTCTTGTCCACAGCTTGAGCATACATGAACTGGAGCAGCAGTAGGTGTAGTGAGATTCTCGTTGTTTGACGGATTATTAGGGCAATCACGATGTGACCTTCGTGAGTGACCCTCTTGCCCACAACTGGAACAGACAGGCACAGCTTCTGGCGCTTCGCGAACAATGTCGAAATCGCGCTCATCATTCTCATTGTTTTGGCGCATTGCCAATCTAGAAGGATTGTTTAGGCAATCACGATGAGTTACGCGTTGGTGGCCCGGCAAACCGCAAGAGTTACAAATGGGTGTTGACATGTCAGAGAGTTAAAAGTAAAAGAACGTTTGACTATTACTGCGTTGGGATCAAAAAACTTTTGCGGGACGTTCTCCCCCGCGAGCCCTCCCGTTGGGGTGTACCCCCCAACCACACTTCCTTCTAAACCCGAACTCACTCGCTTCGCTCGTTTACTTAAGGCATAAATATGACAAACTAAAGTTTATTATAACAAAAAAAAAACTATTTCTTGGTTTTCTCCATAGCGTGCTGTTTCTTCTGGTGAAATTCTGCAATTGCTTCGTCGATTTCACCCATGCACGCGTTTGGTTCCATATACAGAGTCTTGTAGCTGAATGCGAGGTGCTTGATTCCAGTGGGGTAGGCCTCACGTATAGACTCGTAGTGAGTACTTTTGCCCAGATCTCTTCATCTGTAGGGCGTGGCGGATACTTGTTTGTTGTTGTTGCTGCCATGTTCAATTTAGATCGCTAAATTACTGAAATAAAAAAAAGAAAAGAAAAAACGTGTTGTGTAGCAAGCAATTTATACACACCTCCGCAGAAGAGAGGATAAAATATCTGGCAGAGGAACACATATTTCCTTTTTTGTGTAATACGTAACTTTTATTATTTTAATAAGATAGATTAAATCCTCAAGTGTGTGTGCCAAATACCGCGTTAGTGAACAAAATGCAAAAAGCAAAGTGTTTATAACTCAACTATATAAGTTTCACAAACTGTCACAGTCGTTTGGGAAAAAAATGATTCCAAGGACAAAACTTGGTAATATGTATTATAATTTCTTAGTGCAAAGTTACTAACGCAAATTTGTTTCCCAGGCAATGCAAAATCATTCAAATGGCACGCAAACTTTCGCTTTCATCGGGCGCAAAGCTGCAAATAATTTGGAAAAATCCTATACAATACGCGACCACATGGGAACGCTTGAGTAATGCCGGAGCATACGTAACATCAAGCAACATATCCCGTAGTATAAGTGGCATTTTGAGGGATCTATCCGTTAATGTTTTTGTTTGGTCATTTTTTGCTCCAATTTCGGTGCAGCCAAGCTCGATAGGTCCAGAAGCAAAAACAGTATCGACGCGGCGTCCCATCTTGTGCCTTTCAATCGGATCGATGGCTGAAAGCATTTTGCCATTTCCACCACTTTCGCTTGACTTTTCGGAGCTATACATAACATTTTGAGAGATCAGAGCATTGTTTCTTGCGCCTTTCACTTCCTCCTTAATCATCTGGTTACTCTACCCTTCGGCGGTGATCAGCGTATCCTCAAAGATGGCGGCGAAAAAGCCAAGGAACTTATAAAGCTGATCTTCTTCTGAAGCTGTACCGTTTCCATGGCAGATGCAGATTGTGTAATCTCCAAAAGTTCCTGCAAATCGTCGTTCTCGGCCAAGGTAAATTGGCAGTTTGCTTTTCACGATAAACCTGACGAAGGCCTTCAGGAATTGTTCAGGTGTGAATACACGGGCACGCTTCGTCTGGATAAAAGAATCAAGAGGACTGGAAAGCTTGTGATATCGAGTGTATTCTTTTTTTTTAAAAAAACGGCCGTGAAACCTTTTGTAGCTCTGTTGATAGCCAAACTTTGAGTGAATCATCGCATGGATTCAATGGCATTCGGCGAGCATACACGAACACTTCTGACGATGACTTCTACAAAATATTGTTGATAAGTATATATCGGATTCTGTTTTCTATTGTTATTACGGAGGTAACAAGCTTACCATTTCTTTCACTTCACTCTCTTCCAAAAGTCCACCCTTCAAAGGCACATCTTCCAACTCATCTTCGCTGAATACGCTCAGCCAATTATCATCAGTGATGTCTAGAATCAATGACATCGACGAACTAAAGTATTTAGCCAGCAGGTTAGCATATATTTTATGCATAGCGGGTGCTTTTTGTTCCTGATTTTGATCCTTACTGGTAAAAGTTGCATGATAAGGCGAAGCTCATCACCTTCTCCTCGACTGATTCAGCCCTGCTGCCTTCGCATTCTGCCTCCATTTTAGTTGCCTCCAGTATCCAAAACGTGCTACTGTCTAGCTTTTCGAAACTCACACTCAGTGCCTCCTTGTCTTGGTCCGTGATCTTGACCTTCCATGCTGTTGTTGTAGCAGTAGTGGTGGTAGCAAGTGAGATGATATGGTCGAAAGAGTTGGCTTCATCGTCCATTTTCATTCCATCAGTCGAAGTGATTGCGAGTTTGTTCTCTATTTTTTCCCATGCATGTGGATTGGATACCTTAGAAAAAGAAGAGAAAATTAACTTCGCAACTACAAAAGCATATACTGTACTATGATCAATATAAAGACTAGTAAGTACTAACCAATATCAAGCCGACAGATTGAGCGCTATGGTGCATCCCATAATAAATCACCAAAAAGTGTACTGTAATAAAAGATCCATAAGTTAATGATTTGCTTATTTGTTATTTAAATATCATTCTTTAGCATATTTAGAATAGTTTTTGAACTCGGGTTTACCTATTTTGTATGTAATAAAAAGTTGTCAGCCATCAAAGTTGGCCGCTTTTGCCGGTTTTTAGCTGAGGTTGTATATAGTCGCAAGATTTCTGGAGAAGAAACGGATAAAGAGGTCCGGAAGTCGCATAGGCGTATAGACGTAGCAATATAAAGGATGATATTTAAAACATCGAAAAGTTGAACATTGGCGATTAAAACCGGATGCACCATATTATCGTCATTATAGACGCCTCTCCACCTGAACTGACCCTGACGCAACCAGGCGAGTTCTCTTGGAATGTCGGGTGAACCAGACTCAAGCACAGCGTAGCCAACGGCTCATAGTAAAGGTATGGCAGGGGATGATTCCCTGAGAACAGAGCCCAAGGAGGTTTAGCTTAATTGACAACACTACCCATGTCTTCCGAGTGTCGCTCCTTACCGATCACTTAGTAGCGCCAGCATACGGGTTAGTGGCGAAAGCGAACGACGTATTTGACGAAAGAGGATCACACTGGGGCACGGGGCTTACTGTCTGTCCAAAAACAAAGCCACCACCAGGGACGTTGGTTATTGTATGCACTTGTACTTTTGCTAACATAATCAGTTGAATCTTGATGACTGCTACCTAACCGGAGTGTACAGCGATCCTACAATATGTCAAGATGTTGACAACGAAGTTCGGCTGCGAAACAGTGGGGGGTACGACTAGAGAGAAGAAGAGCCTACATAACATCCAACAGCTGCTTTGCTAGGACGTCGTTTGGTGGCACACCGTCCTGTTGTGTCTGTTTTACCTGCATATCATAGCGTAAAAGCATACAATTGCTAGTCAGAATAATCTCATGCTCTGTTTCCCAAAAAAATGGGGTGGTGACTTAAGGATGTCAAACTGACTCATTTGATGCAATGATGTCCATCGTTCTGGAAGGCCAGGCTAGTTACAGAAAAGAGCCGTGCCCGAATATAAACGGTGGCAATCCTTTCTTGCAACGGTCCAGATACATTACAAAGTCTGTGAGGTATAGAGACGTCGTTGAGCGATGGTGGTGTGTTGAGACTCTGGTATCGGGAATGTGTGGAAGCGGAAGAAAAGAAGCAAGAGTATGCAAGCGGGTAATTTACAAGCTCACGGCAAGTTTATGCAGTGCGAGAGAGACCTGTTGCAAAAAATCAAAAAGGGCGTCTTTTGCTTGTGTGATATAATAAATGCGTCGACAATGATAGTTGACTCATACAGCGAGACGTGGAGCATATCATAAGAAATTAATAAAAACATTCTCCTTATACTTTTGCATTGACAACAGTACTCTTGTGCTATACACTGGTTTTCTCCATCCGCGCAGCTGAGATGCAGTTCCCCGTTTGTTCGAGTATACACGACGTTTGGTGATTAAAAATCAATCATATCCAATGCTGTTCCACATGCGGGTGATGCGTATGATGCATGCAAGTGTAGTGCCTAAATCGGTGCTTGGCAAAGAGTGTGATCGAGCGGATGATGATTGACTATGGCTGTGATAAATAACTCGACCTGTCAAAATATGGTACAAACTACAATTTATCCATCATTTGATTGAGGATATCAATCATATCATACGAGTTTCCGATGTATTCGACGTTGTAAATCATTCGGAGGCTTTTTTACCCCGAAAAAAGGAATCAGCGGAAAGTGCCAACACTGCTTAAAATTGCTAACAAGTTCTGGTTTGTAATAAATGCTAGAGGGTCTGGTACGAGACCGGTGCTCCGGGGCGAAACAATGAGAAAGGCAAAAGTTGAGTTTTTGTGGACGACACTGCGTGTTCATCAAAGGCTGCTCGCTTGATGTTGTCAGGAATCAAAACTTTTATGTTTTTGCGGTATTGTTGTCTGTCTGAAACACTGAAAACAGTCTGAAAACTCAAAGGCTCTTAATTGGCGCTCCCCATCTCCAGCTTTGATAATCGTTAAATGTGTCAGAAAACAAATATGCGTGAATGAGCGCGATAAAAAGATACTGAATATGTAATATGGCATATATACAGTAAATAGCCACACTACTAAATCTTCGCGTATTGACGATAGTTAGAACTGCTAAGTTTTCCCGCATTGACTACAGTAGTATCTTTCGTAAAACAGTCTACTACATACTATTTATCTTTCATACTTTTCTTGATGGCATGATTAAGATGTTTATATTAGACAAAACATCATTTAGATTGTTTTCTTTATTATATAATACTGAGAAGTATATACAATATATCCAGAAAGAATAATTAGTTGTTCTGGCCAGTACCCTTGCTAGCACCGTTGAAGGCACCCTCGGCCTTGTTCTTGGCATTCTTTAAAAAATTAAAGAAAGTGCGAGTAAGTTTCGACGATTGCTCTCTATTTACAAGGGTCCAAAGGCAAACACTAACCTGCCACATTTCGTTGGCCTTGGCACCCATCTCTTCCATCTTGCCACCAGTGTTCTGGCCTTGGCCTTCAGCCTTCATGCGATCGTTGCCCATCATATTGCCAGCAGTTTCCTTGACGTTACCGATGCCCTGGTTGGCATTGGCGTTCATGCGAGAGGGTTGGTTGTTGTTGTTCATTGTGGTTGTTTGGTTTGAGCTTTAAGAATAAGATGGAAAGTGGGAGAAAGTGGATGTCTTTGGATGGCCTTTTTATATCTATTTTTTCGATCGTCGGGTGCATAATTATGACGATACTTTGTTTCGGACAAGTTTGTTGAGTCGAGACTGCTCTTCACGAGAACACTGTAGTAGCGTGGATAACACTGGGATAAGTTGTGCCTAATTTGCCGTACGCAATATTCCGAGACATTGGAACAAACAAACAGAGGGGAGAATGGTTATTGTTTATGTTTAACTTATCAGGAAAAAGTTATCATTAGTTGCCTTACTTACCCGTGTTTGCTTTTTCTCTAAAAACTTGATGATAACGTTCTTCAAGTACTCGTTATTGATTTCCATATTGTTCCTCTGGGACACCTTACGCATCTCGTCACGAAGAGTCTAGAATTAATAATGATATCCCGCGTCATTATTACGTAATATACACTTATTGACGTAAGAAAATACTTCTTGGAAAAATTACCTTGTTGATCGTCTTTAGATGGTTCTCTCTTATCTTTGCTTGCTCTAGCGCTTGCTGCTGATTCTCCAATTGTTTATACGCAGACTGTTACATTGTTTGTTTAAAACATCACAAGTGTCAGAAATAGCGGAACATTTTTCTATTCGCTAATATTGTTGTCTTACCAGTTTCTCCTCTAAAGCGCATTGTTTTTCCCGATAATCCTTGAGCTGGCCCGATTGATGTTCCAACCGATCCTGCAAACCAACACGGTCCTTTTCCATCGTCGATAATTGTGCCTGAACTTGCTCCAACTCTTTACACTTGGCTTCCAACTCTGTCTTTTCCACGAGATGTGACGCGGGCGCCTTGGATACCCACTCCTTTTGTCGCAACGATTCTAGATCGCGTTCCAACATCTGTATACGCGTCTCTGCCTGCTCTAAATCGCTCTCAGACGTCTGCCATCGTTTCTCAAGCGTCTCTGCACGCTCATGCTCAATGTCGCGAGCTTGACGCGCAGTGTCCTGATCCGTCTTGGCGATCGTCAATTCTTCCATGAGCTTCTGCTTATCCGCTTCCAGACCGTAAATTCGATCATGTGCCTCCTTCAGTTGGGCAGCTAATGACTGTATCTTTTCTTCCTGCTGTTGTTGCTGTTGCTGTTCCACCTCTTGTCGTCGTCGTTCCTGATCTTCCTTTAGCTTTTGCTGTTGCTGCTCCAATTCGCGTCGTCGTTCCTCTTCTTCCTTCTCTTCCTTCTGTTTTTGTTGTTCAGCGCCATCGTCCTTCGCATTGTTGCCACTGTTGATTTGATCCCAAAATTGGTCAAGAACGCCTTTCGGGTTGTCCACTTGCTGTAACATTACTAATAGTTGTGTCGTTTTCATTGCAATAAGCTCGTCGTCCTCTGACGACGACGCCACCAAGCCTCCGGTCTTCCCTACTTTTGCTGCTTCTTCAGTTGCTTCCATAGAAACGGGTAGTGCTGCTGCTGTTGCTTGTTGTGACAGTTGAGCAATCATGGTATATGCCTTTTGCAATTCTTGTCGCGCCAGATCGGCTTCTTGCATAAAGTGCAAGACGTTCTTTTTCGATTCTTCTCGTTCGAGGCGAAGCTCTTCTAATTCATTGTTGAGTCGTTGGACCTGATCTTGCAGTTTTTGTTTGCCTTGGTTTTGCTTTCTGTTATTGGGCATTATGGAAATTGAATTACGCTGGGAATGCTTGCAAAAGAAAGGGAGAGGGGAGCGGTAAAAAAAGAAATGTAGTCGGCTTCCTGACCTGAAAATTTCGTGTATAGCGGTAAGGTCCGGATCAGAGCCAATGTAAAGCATTCAAGTTCCAGCTACAAACACTAAAATATTTACATGCCAGTCTTATTTGTGAAATTGTTGTGCTATATTCATTGTACATATCATATCTGTTTCAGAGACTAATTATTATGAACATAATAAAGATGAGCAAAGATAGCACACTAAAATTTTTCAACATACAAGGATGGCGATCTAAGCACCTTGCCTTATTGTTTTCTGTTTTTAATTCTCTGCACGTTCCTTGCTGTAAGATACATATCCTGACGACAAATGGAAGAATGATTTGATTGAGCCTATTATGGAAGCCTTTCTCCATCAAGTTCGACATGTGCTTAGAGTGCACGCTCGCATGTTGTCGATATCGGCAGAAATAGCTTGCGTTATTGCTGATGTACGCTTTTGAACAGTGGTGCTAGGGCCAGTACGGCTTAAATATTACAAATATGGTGTGTAGCATAATTCTAAGAAACAAAAAAACAATAGCCAGCGGCATGTAATGTGCTACTCTGCTCGTGATCTTTGGGAAATTTTGATAAGATAATAAACGCTTATGTTAAGTATTATATAACTCTGTCGAAAGAAAACACAAACTTGCATTCCATCATTACATCAAAAAAACACTTTATCAGCCGGCAATATAAAAGACGAACATGCACAAACCCAAAGCTGAAATCCTGGCTGCAAGCTCCTTTTGAGCTGAAGTGATTACCGTAAAGTGCCTCTAAAAGCATTCTATGAGATAACAACCATTGTGTGACCTCGTTCACGGTCGTAAAATATGCATGATATGCATAGAATTTAAAGAAAAGTAGCGCAACACCAAACAAAGTTTGTTATCATCAACAACACCACGCACTTGACTTTCCATATTTGCATTTGGGTCATTCTCATTTTTATTGATTATCATCACTACGCATATTAAACTTAGTAGTCATGGCTCTCAACAGCTACATATAAATGACATAGCCGATTGTTCGGATTCATTTAATAAAACGTGTACCCAAGGTAAAACCTAAAGACAACCACAAACACTGAAGTTATAACAGGCTTTTTTGAATAGTAAGCGTAATCATTTAATAATATATGTGAGGGCAGTTGTATATGATATTAACGTTGTACATGATATAAGCGGATATAAGTTGATGGTTGCAAATGGAGATAAGGAGAGAATGCATGTAATAATGAGGACTGAAGGAAGAAAATTACGCGCCGTTGAGAGTAACTTCAACCTTATCGGTGGTATGCACGGAACCGTGCTCTCCAACGTTGACCTGCTTGATTTCTTCACGGACAGTGGTTTGGACACCAGTCTTGGAGTCGACAGAGATCAACTTGTTGACATAGACGTAGGCGCTCTCACCGATTTCGGTGACATCGAGACCTTGGATTTCTTCCTCTTCTGAGACACGCAAAGCGAGACCGGGGATCTTGTTCATGACAAACAAAATTATATAGGTCATACAGAACGCCCAGGCAGCACCGGCTGTGGCATCAGCAAATTGATAGCCGACCTGAACCCAGTTCTGGTTTAACCAACCACCGTCAATCTCGGTACCATCAATAGCAGCGACATAGCTTTCTGCGAAAACACCAGTGAAGATACAGCCAACATAACCACCAACACCGTGCAAGGAAAACACATCCAAAGCGTCATCAAATCCGAGCCAACGCTTAGTGTACATGGACAAGTTACAGAAGAAACCACCAAAGAAACCAATAGCGACAGCAGGTCCTGGGCCCACGAAACCGGCAGCGGGAGTGATAGCCACCAAACCGGCAATAGCGCCAGAGCAGAAGCCAAGGGCAGAGAATTTGCGCTCGACACGGTAGTCCATGATCATCCAGGTTAAGGCACCGACAGCAGCAGCCAAGTTGGTGACAATGCAGACCATACCGACACGTGCATTACTGCTCAAAACCGAACCTCCATTGAAGCCGAACTGATAGAGAATGTTTGGATGGTGAGCAAATAGGGATACTTTATCAGAAGTCATTGAAACACATTGTTCAACAGTTGAAACCATCATTCTTCATTGTCGATTTAACCGAGAAGAGCGTGCTTAATAAATATTTACCCAACCGAACCAGAGCAATGCAGTGCCGAGAGCCACATTAGACATGTTGTGGGCCTTGAAACGTTCAGGGTCAGCGTCTTTACCATAGCCAATACGTTTGCCCAAAACAAGAGCATAAGCAAGTGCAGAGCAACCGGAGCCAATGTGGACGGGCGTGCCACCGGCAAAATCGAGACCACCGAGTTGGAAACACCAGCCATTGGGGTTCCAGGTCCAGTAGGCAAGGAAGTTGTAGACGAGGGTTGACCAGATAAAGACGAAAAGCATCAAGGGCAAGATACGGGCACGTTCAGCAACAGCACCGACAACAAGGGCTGCGGTGACACATTGGAACATACATTGGTAGATGCAGAAAACCAAGTCTGGGATGGCGTCCATGCCGACGGAAGGATAGCCAAGGAGGCCACGGAGGAAGGCGTTGTCGAGGTTACCGAGAAGTGCATTACCGCCGAGAGAAAATGTCAAGCTGTAGCCCCATACAAACCACTACATATGATAGATCACCATCAACATTGCTATTATCAGTAATTGCTAAATATATTTTCTTCAACAATAACAATAGCCACAGCAGCGAGCAATGATGTACCAAGCCTGCTGTTTATATACATCTCTCATACCTGTATAGAGGCTACCATCATGCATACCAAGACATACATGATGAGCGATAAGGCGTTCTTGTGGGAAGCAAGACCAGAGTAGAAATAACCAAGGCCTGGTATCATAAGCCAAACCAGGGCCATGGCAGTCATGATCCAGGCGGTATGGCCGGACTCGAATACTACGGGTTCTTCAGCGTCCATATTATAGTGCGTGTGCAGTTAGCGTGATTATTGTTGTCGTTGACAGTAGTACTAGTAGTGGCGTTGTTATTTAAGAGAGAGGAGAAAAGAAGAATATACCGAAGATACGAATAACGTTGATAGTGACCAGGACCAAAAAGCAGGTTATTTATATATGTCTGCAAGAGATTAAGTGTGTGAACCTGCAGCAGCAAATGCTAATATAGACATAGAAAAGATAACATCAAAATTCACTTGATAAGGCAAAGGAGGCTGTCGGCTCTACTCGCTTCAGTACAATAATTACTGAAATGCAGGGTTTTGTCGTTAATTTTGACTTTTGCGTGCGTGTGGGCGGGTACATGTAATACCGTATTCGTTGTGTGTGCACAGTACTGAAACCAGTAATTGATAGGAAGATGTCCTTTATCTCTTGTGTAACTCTCACTTACCTTTCTCCTTTTGTTTTGAGCGAGCCTGCTTAGAATGGCCGACAGATCAAGATACGTTTATCTTGTATACCTAAATTCAGAAGGTCCCAACAAGTTAGTTGAGTTGCTGTTACTGAGAACCTCATAAGAGCAAGCCAAGATCCTGCAGAAAGAAAGGGAAAGTCATTACTGTCCATAGTGCAGCATCTCTTCCAACAATTTTATTGCGCTATCAGGTATACTGGTTATCTACGGAACGATTTGCCGAGGCAGTGAGAAAGCAGAGCGATTAAAAAAGGCGTCTCTCTCGTAGCACCACGAGCCCAAAGGTGGGGTCAATTTCTTTTTCTCTCTTTGTAAATCATGGACTGCTATGCATTTGCTTTTTTCACTATCGTTATCTTAAAAGATCATGTGCTTCTGGATATAGAATTTCATTTGGACTGGTATCGTGTACCGAGTAATAACACATGTTCCCTTTTATGGTCCTCCAAGACAAAGCTAAGGAAGGGGTGACTGTGTGGTCATACATTACTGTATCATATCTGTGGAATAGAGCGTAAAGTACATACTCTCCATACTCTGGGGAGTGGCTGATCCTTCTAACGTAAACAACATGAAAATTTTGCCATAATTACAAATAGCAGACTTTTATTAGCTACTTATTTTTTTACAGAGTTGCTCGAGCGACCAAATTTTTCCTTGCGTAGACCAAATTTTTACATATAGGAGTTTAAACATCCGTTACACATGTCTCCTCTACTATCTTCACTCCTTCGGGAGACCAAACTTCTCCCCACACCAATTTCAGATTTTCCTTACAATCTGTAATTCCTTGCGTAGACCAAAAAAAAGTGGAAGTGTAATTCTTTGTGTAGACCAAATAATCATGTTGCCTTGTAGTGACGTTCAGTAAGTGAGATATAATATCCAGTGGTAGCCATTTACCACGCAGGTTTGACATTTTCTTTTATTGAACATTGTTCTTTTTCTTTTTTTAACAGAAGAATATAGAGAAAGAGAAAAAAAGTGAAAGTGTATAGAAATATGTTGGAGAAGATAATGTATGGTTCTGCTATTTATTCATCAGAGTATATGATGCTCTTGGTCGCCCTAATCTTCACTGTCTGAGTCATCGTCATCTGGATATTTGAAACAGCCGTAGTCGACGCTACGCTCCATGCGGAAAAGCGCCATGTTGCTGAGGGGACTGTATTCTTCTGCTAGCCTAATCGTGCAATCACAATCTTCTTCTGTCTCACCGGCCGTCTCAAGATCTTCCCTAATAAGGCGCATACCGACCTCTGGAACAAGAACAGAGGCTATATATTCCGGGGTATCCATCGGTTTGATGTGCTCATTCGCAGCATCGATCTCGTGTACCAGCATGTCTTGGAGTGTTTTTGCGATTATTTTTTTGCCTTTAAACCCATAGTATCCAGGCTATAAAATATAAAGATAATTGTTATTATATCATAGGTTCTACTATGTATACATTTCAATTTTGCAAAACTTACCATATGGTCTTTGAAAATGCTCATCTTTAACATTGGATTTTTCGCAGCTCTGATGCTCGGTGCATTTTTGTAGTATTCTATGATCTTCTTCTTGAAATAGCTTTGAAACGGCTTATCCATTATCAAATCCTTGAGCTCGTCTATCCATTTTGCGATCCGTTCCGGCAAGGCCTCGAATTCGACCAAAGGGAATTTGTTCGCTAGGCGCATTGGCTCGTAGACCATAATGTCGAGATGCGGTCTACACCAAGCAACATCATTCTGTCGATGAGGTTTCTTTACTTTCGAATGCGGAAAGACGCTGAAATAATTGGGCGACAAGGATGCTTGTAATGGTGTAGGCAAAGGAGTTGAGCACCTCCAGCAGGCGATCACTAAAAACCATTAGAAAAATCAGCTACACGTCGTTGAGCTTATAACAGCAAAAAGCTTATATACTTGCCTGGTTCCACTTGGTCGAATACCTCCTGCATATGATGCTCTTCATCAAGCGTGTATGAAGGCGTCGGTGCTTTTAGCTGGTCGGCTTTCTTGTACAGTATCGATATCGTATGCTTTCTGTTTTCTGTTAATATGCTTTCAATAGAATCAGGATCGGATGCAATTATCTGCACTTGATTGCCGGCCAAGTTGTCCATGCGTGCGAGGAATCGTTTGTTTCGGTGTTCGATTATAGCCACGGTATAGAAATGTGCTCCTCCTGATGACGTTGAATAAATCCTTGCATGCAATACATATTCTTCCGATATTCCACCTTCGTCGTCTGTGAGCATAAGCCGGTAGGGAAACATAGTAGGCCGACCATGTCGTTCTCTTTCGTCGTCTGCAAAGATAAGGAATGTCGGAAATTCTGTTGGCACATTATATTCCATTGCAGAGCAACTACAGCCTGGTTCGGGACAGCCTTGTAGAGCGAGCCTTTCGTCCTCGATGTGAATGTTGTAGAGTAGCTTGCCAAACTCGACAGGGTCTTCTGCGCTTGAGACCAAGTCCTCAATGTAAACTGCCGGCCTGAGGTAGTGTGAATCGGCAGGATAAAATACACCGTGCTCTTCACAATAAATGACTCGTAGGCATTTGATGAAGAACTGGTCTTGTATAAACGTCGAAGCTCTTTCCAAAATGAACTGCAAAAGGAATTCAATTGCAGAGTGCCAGCCCTTGTCCATGTATACTATGTCACTCCAAGCGAAATCCCGGATCCACATGCTCGCATAATCACGCCCTTTTTCGGTGTTCTCGGAATGATGCATGTATGTATAGTGCAGCGCATTATCGACCGGGTTAAAATTAGTAGGTAGGAGCTGGTTGCGCATATCGATGAAGGGGAAAGCAGAATGCCACAGCATCTCCATTGGAGCGTCAATGAAGCACGAGTTATTCTGATTTCGCCTCAAGTGCAAACTGTACGGTTTGTCTTTTTCGGCAGCTGTATAAGATAAAAGAATAATTGCATTTCATGCGTATCATAAGTAAGACAGAAAAATTATCTTTCATAATATATATATCACAGTATTACCTTGTCGACTTTCTCTTTGTTGCTGACTCTGTGTAGCAGAATTTTCCAATTGTTGACGCCTTTTTGGAATGATGAGAGATGGGACATCATCGTTAGGATCGGTTCTCACTCTACATTACATACTCGTCGCTTAGTACATTTGTGATCCCAAAATTTGACAATCTGATGGTATGTATGAATAGTACCTTTTACTTTGCGTATCACCACTTTCGTCGGATGAATCATTTGATGGGATTCCACTCTTGTCCTTGTCTGCAACCAAGTTTATGATCTGGAGGCGCGATCTTCGTGTCCTTTTTCGTCGTTCTGTTGCTCGTCCTTTGGTCTTCACTTTCTTTGGCAGCACCACATAATTTATATCAGCAATGTCATCAATGGCTGCTTGGATTGCACCTTCAATATTATCCAAGAATTTGGATAATTTTTGCGGGTCATTTTGCATTGCCAGCATTTGATGGTGTGCTGCAAATAAAACTTGTTTCGAGCGTTCATTTGTGCTTTGAGCAAGAACTGTTACATCAGTTTCTATAAAAACCAGTATCCATGAGTATAAATTTCATAATGAAACCTGTACATAGTATGAGTAATATATGCTTATTAGTGCTCACCTCCATTGTCTTTCAGATGCCAGAACGAATCAATTGATTCCAGTGGGATAGGATCTTGCGGGAGCGTGTGACGACAAGGAAGGCTGTAGTTTCTCAATGGTATGCATGGGCAGTTGTCGCGCTGTTCTCCTCGTGAAGCACGTTCGTTACGAAGTAAAAGTAACGCAAAGTGCGAGATCTTCCTAATAACATTCTGGAAATAGTATGCATCGTCTTGTTGTAACACTACTACAGGTACACTTTGCGTTTCGTTTGACAGGTAAATGTCTCGACTCTTTTGCTATATGAATAAATAAGATTAAATTAGTATCAAACTGATGTACTATATACTTTCGATTAATTAACAGAAATATGTCTTACTGATTGAATACACCACTCATGGATACTCTTAAACAAGAGTCTTAACGACTTTGGCTTGTCCAAATGCCGTTTTAGCATATAATGAGCGCTTTCGACTCTCTGTGTAGACCTGCAGCCGAAATGCTTTTTTGCTTCACACCAAGGACCTGCCCAGTCTTCTTTGCTCTCGAGCATTCTAGTTTTTATCCCGATTTTGATGTTTGTTATTAGTATTCGTTTGCATCTTTAACTAAACATAGCTCATTTACATAAAAGATATTGAACTTACTCATTGAGATATTCGATAAGTTCATCCTCGATTGTTGACAACTTTGCCAACTCCTGGTAATCGGTCACTCCTGCTTCAAAATCCTTATCGGTTCGAGCGTATAACAAGGTTACAACGGCTTTATTGAATTTTTGTTCTTCGGATTTTCGGCCACGTAACGCAGGAGGGAACTTCTTCTTGCAACGCTTCATGAAATTTTTTTCAACGTGCCATGCACAAAGAATTGACGTAACTTGCGGGAAGATTTCAGACAGAGCGTTTCTCAATGCATTGTCGCCGTCAGTTATAAACAATGCTGGAGCTCTGGAGCTCGATGCAGGCCACACGATGTCATGCATTTTCTTGGCGACCCAGGTGTACATATCCTCGTTCTCGTTGGAGATAATGGCAGACGCGATAATGAACGTACGAAGGCTGTTGGTTCCAAGGTTGCCTACGCCCACTATGTTCACAAGTGGCATGTTGTGG